CACACTGTCCCCTGCTATCCTAGACCAGCAGTGGAGGTGGGGATGTGTGAAGCAAGGCTGGCAGTGGGGAAGGGGATGTGGTCGTCGAGAAAGAATGCAGGAACAGCCAATATGTTTTTTTTTTACTTTATTCATATATAACCTGGTGTGCACATGCCATTCAAACTGGGCATGGTTGACACAGGTCTGTCCTCTCAGCACTTGGAAGCCCCAGGCCAGAAGATGGAAAATTCAAGGTCACTCTGGGCTACACAGTGAGACCCTGTTTTGAAAAGAAAGAAAGAAACAAACAGGCAAGCAAAGGCAGTTTGTGTTTTTAGTTATTCACGGAATTATTCAACTAGCGCCAATCGGAAGCATCTCCCTTACCCTCAACAAATCTAGGGAGCATTTAGCTGTCTGTGCCTGCAACCTGTCCCCTCCCTGCTTTGAGCAGCTGCTAACACACACATTATCTTTGGGGTTCCATCTGGGGCTGTATAAGCTCCTGCTGGTTCCCATGATTTTCTTCTAGGTCTCCAGAGGAGCCCCTTGGATACGAGCCTGGGAAAGATTGTGACTGGACAGAATGGACCTTAGAAGCACACTTGGGCGCTTCTGTGGCTGCAGGCATCCCTTCCCCTCCCTCTTCCCATCCTCTCCCCTTCCCCCATCACCTGCATGGGCTGCCACCTCCCAGAGAATTTAGAAGAGGTCGGGTTGGACAAGGAGGGTGGACGGGTCCAGACTTCCACAGGTGCCCTAGGGCTGGCTGCCCCTTCCTGTCCTTTCTCTAACTACTAGCAGCGGGAATCTGTCCTACCTGTCGTCCGGCTTCTCGCATTGCTTCTTTTCAGGAGGAGGGTCGCATCTCATCGTAGTCAGAAGTTGGGGGGTGGGAACGGCGTCATGCAGGAGTTGATTGCACAGCCATTCAGCTCCTATATGATGCCTTTCTTCACCCCCTTCAACCGCGTGTGGCCTCCAGACCCTCCTCTGCACCTTGGGCTTCACCCCCTTCAACCGCGTGTGGCCTCCAGACCCTCCTCTGCACCTTGGGCTTCACCGGGATGTATCTTCCAGCTTGCACTTGCCTGGCATGCTTTCTTTCTTCTCCCCACAGCCTTCCAAGTCTCTAGAGGGGAATGCCTGGGGCTGGGCCATCTCTGAGGTCCTTTCTCGGAGGGGGAGCTATATCCCTGGTGGGACATTCCCTGGGGCTGGGCCAAGGGTCACCCCCTGACTCTGTGGCCAAGGGTAGACAGGTCAGAGGTCGATCCTGGGCCTACTCTGGGGCTTCTCCCACTGGGATTCCAGGAGCTGTTCTCTCCTGGACGCCCTCTGAGGGGACCCAGCTCACAGGACAAAGGGGTGGATCCCGGAGAGGTGGTGTCTTTGTTTGCAGGACAGGGGGGCAGGGCTGGAACAGAGCAGGGCTGCGCCTTACCAGTGCTCCCAGAACAGGGTCTCCTTGAGGGGCCTCTGCCTCTATCCAGGATTATTTTTTTATGACCAGGAGGCTGAGGTCCCTTACAGGCGGCCCCTTACTCTCTCCTTGAGCCCTTTTGGAGACGTCTCATCTCATTCACCTCAGATCGTGGATCCCCTAAGAGCTGTCAGAGTCACCTGGTTCTTCTTCTGTGACACCCCTGCCCAGGCTGGGGTGCCCTAGACACTTCAACAGCACGATGAGCAGCTGTCCGAGTCCTGTCTTCTGTACCCCAATAGTTCAGATCACTGCATGCATGGGGCGGGGGCACCTTCATCCCCACGACACTACCATTATTACCAGCATTAACCAGCTACGGCGGCCAGCCCAGGCACACAGGAGGACCCTGAGTGGGGAGCCTTGATGCTGTGAAAGGATTTGAGAGCAGAACGGGCATGGGGGGGGACCCAGGGCTCCGCCCTTCCCTCCCCCACCGTTCCTTTGCCTCATATCTCTTCCCTGTTCCCTTCCTCACCCCCCCCACCCCCGCACCTCTTCCTCCTACCTGTGCAGCTTGCATCTTTCATGTTATCAGGACTGTCATGCTGGCCCCTGAGCTCTCACAGGTGGATGGAAGTCCGGATGATGTTCGCTGTTCAGGTGTCAGATTGTGTCTGATCGAAATAGATCATACTAAGTGGTCCCCTGTTCCCAGCAGCAGGGCTAAAGGTGGGTAGGAGCAGTTGCAGGGGGTAGGGGAGGCGGTGATAGCTTATCTGTCACCTTTCCCTTTCTTACTATGGGGCCAATCCAGGTTACCTAGGTGGGCAGCAATCTTCTTCCTCTGTTCCAGGCTGGTTAGGAGCTGGTAAAACTCTTGGCTCAGGGTCCTGTGTGGGAACCTCTAATGTGACCCGTGGTCACCTGTAAGAGAGAGTAGCAAATCCAGTCCTGCTGGTGAGTAGCTGGGGTATATGCAGTTACCGGCTCTGGAATTGATATGCCCAGCCTGTAGCCTGCAGGGGCATCTTATAAGGGGGAGGACGGGAGGCAAGGGAGGGGACAAGCAGGGTGGCCAAGGGAGGGCCTTGTGCTCTTCTTTGTTCCCGGATGCTCTCAGAGCTCTTTGGATGGGGATTGAAGCTGGGAGTGGGGGCACTTCCTCGGTGGGTGGAGTCTGCATCAGGGGCTGGTCTCCGGTTTTCACCTTTACTGTGGTGGGAGTGATGTCATAATCACCTAGCAGGAACTTTCACACCAATTTCTTTCTTTGCTTTTCTCTTCCCCAGGAGAAAAAAAAAAAAGGTTTGTGTTGTGCTTTTCAATCTCTTTTTCTAAGTGGCTCCGCGATAACCTGATAACCTACTGCTTTAGCGCGTCACTACCTCTCTTTACTGCCTGGGCTGCCTTCTCCTCCTGTAAATGGGGACAAAGCCCCTGCTGGGTAGATTGGCAGGCCAGTGGGCCTTTATTGGCCCTTCACTTTCTGTGTATGTGTGGGAGGTGGGTAAATGCGCTCACCTCTGTGATGACATCATCACCATTGAGAAGTTTCCTTTTCCACTTCTCCCGGTTCCTGTGGAAGGCCTTGGGTCCCCTGGCAGCAGCAGGCACATAAGCATCGTCTGTTCATCTACTGCACCCAGGCAGGTCCTCACCAAGCAGGGACAGAATTTTGTTTTTGAGGTTCAGCTTTGTGTGTGAGGTCCCCAGCGTACAGCACTGGTGTGCTTGTTCTCCCCATTAGGACCCCAGTCCCACCTCAAGGTCATGGGCCCCTTCTTAGGAATTCCAAGCAGAGTGTCGTGGGAGCCGGGGAGTACTTTAGGGACCAAAGGCTCTGATGATGGCCTTGTCTTGAAACTGACCCCTCTTTTAGGTGCCCCACTTAGGGAATAGGAAGGCAGGTCAGTGGGAGGGTAGTCCTCCTGCCACTTGGGGCCAGGGACTTCTGTAAGCAGTTTACTTAAGGAATGCTGGGATTGTTGCAGCTGGACCTCTGACCTTAACCCATACCGTGTCATTTGGGGCTGTCTTAGAGAGACAGACAGACAACAACAGCCTCTGTCTCTGGGGCTGTTGTGATGTCAGCTGTATGTGGGGGGTCACGTGTTGGGTTCTGAGACCATAGGTTGTGAGGGTAGAAGGGCCTAAGGTGAAAGGATAGAAGCCGCAAAGGAGGTTCCCCAGGCCTGCCTGTGACCACCGCTCTCTGAGGTCCTCTCTGTACCATGATTTTCGGGACAGATGACACCAGAAAGTTCCTGGTTGAGACGGTGGGTAGGAACTCTGTGATGGTCGTACTCAACACTTCATTGGGACCCCTTTGAAATCTTGCAGAAGCCCCCCATAGCTCTTCATGATGCACAGGGTGACTGATGATAGGAGAATTTGTCCTCTTTACAAGGCACCGGCAACTTCCTTAGGAGCAGGACAAAGTGCTGAGGTGAGGCTGAGCCCCTGACCTTAAACTGGGGATCCTGCCCATGATCTCCTGGTGCTGCTGTCAGGGGTAGATTCCTCGTTAAGGAGGCTAGACTGTAGCCAGTTGCTCCTTGGGACTCACGGGTGCAGAGGGATCCCAGTGTGGGCTGGAGAGGGCATAGAGGGATGTGGTCTTTGGCTCTCAGGGATATTTCTCTGGGCCCCAAGCTCAGCTATGTTGCTACAGGTGGGATCACATTGGGTTGTCACACTGGGTATCCAGGGCCTTGATACATTCTCAGGACAAAGGAGGTCTCTTGCAGTTAACTTGAGGTCAGATTTCCAGGCAGGCTGTAAAGAGCTGAGCTAGAGCTAGTCTCCCTTGGATGTGAGGGTCCTGTGGATTGAATCTCCGTGCTATCCTTAAGGTCACACTGGGAGAGCCATTTTGTAGACTTCCTGTAGAAGGGGTACTTCTGAGTAGGGGTACAGACTTTGTGAATGAGAGCTACTCCCCCTATTTCCACTCCCCCAGGAGCTCCTACCTACTCCCAGACCAATGTACCCTCAGGATAGCCTTAGGGTAGGGACCTGGGTCTTTTTTATTGGGAATCTTTCCAACTGTGGGAATGGTCCCAGGCTGTGTGTGTGGTGTCCCCTTAGTCATGAGCATAGAACATGGCCTGACTGCTTCTCATTTGTCATGACTCAAGGAAGACTTGGATTTTGGGGTACCTTCCCTCTGCCCCTATGAGCCCCCATGCCTCCTTCCCATGTGTATTTCCCCTTGAAATGAGCTTGAGGGGGTGAGAGTGGAGTGGCTTCCCTCTCTCTAGGAGAAGGGAGACCTGTTGCTCTGTGTCGCCATGAGCTGTTTAGGGGTGAGTCAAGCCCTCCTGCCCATGCCCCTCCCCCCCTTGTACTGGCCCACCCCCATCCCTCTCAGCTGACTCCATCCTTTCTGCCCCCATGCTCACTGTTCCCCAAACCTATCTCTCACTATCATCCCCTCCCTTTTAGAACAAAACACAAAGCCAGATCATCTTTTATTCTCTTTATTTGTGGGACAAAAGCAGAAGTGGGATGTGAAAATATGGGAAGGAGCTCTTTCCCATCACAGAGAACAGTGGGTCTGCTCAGAGCACTCTTGGTTCATAGGCACAGTGGGCTGGGTATCCGGGGCTTCACCAGTGTCCTTGGGGGCTCCTTTCTTTATGTGGGGTCTCTGGCCCCTGCACTGTCCAGTTGTCCGTTTTTGAAAAGGGAGCCCCATTTGATGGTACCACCTTTTTTTTTGGTGTCCCCTGACCTTCAAGGTGGACAAGTCTATCAGGTAAGTCACACTGGTACGTCAGATGCCCCATTGAGCAGCTCTGCTCAGGTAAGGTCAGAGTTCAGATTTCAGGGTCAGCTGAAGTGTCAGGGGAGCCAGATCAGATGGGTAGTGTGGGGTGGGCTTGCTTGCTGGGTGGGCTGCAGTACCTCGGGAGGCTGGGAGGGGGTAGAGGTGGGGTTCAGGGGAGTTGGAACACCGGTGTGGAGGTAGAAGTCAGTGGAGCACCCGAGGTCAGTGTCCCAGGATGCACAGGTGGCCACACGCCACTCGGGTGGTGGTGGTGGTGGGGGGGGTTCTGGCATTTGCTTGCTTGGCTGTGCCTGCTGTGCCTGCTCTGCATCTGGCCTGGGGTGACAGGGTCATTGTTGCTCATCACTGCTTCCTCCTCTCATTGCTTTCACTCTCAGCTGTGGGCTTGGGACCCGGACAGCTAGGATAGGGTTGCGCAGTCTTGGAGAGTGAGGACAGGGTTGCACAGTCTTGGACAGTTTGGACAGGGTTGCATACACAGTCTTAGCTGGTTCTGGAACGCTGGTAGTCGACTAGTCCTTTAGCAGAGATGATGTTGCTGGTTGAGTTGAAGTTGTGGCCCTTCACAAATGGGTTCCCCTTGGGTCAGGAGTGGCAAGAAGGGGCACTGGATTTAAGCGAAGCTGGCTGAGGCACAAGGAAGGATGGCAGAGTCTTTGTTGTGTTTCAGTCAAGTTCATCATCTGATGAAGATAGTGTGTTGCTGGGTGGAGGAGGCGGTCTTATTCTGGAGGCCATGATCAGGAATCGTGTGAGGGCCTGGGCCACTTCGTCTCTGCTGATCAGAGTAAGTCGGCCATCGGCACCCAGAATGTAGAGTAGGCGGTTGTTGAGGAAAGCTAGGACCTCTGGGTCCAACAGATCTTGTGGGCGGAAGGTGACCGCTTCTTGGTCACCAAGCAGGGCTTCTTGCACGTCGTTGTCCTGCGCGTCCTGCGAGGTGTCTTGCAGGCCGTCATGCAGGCCACACTGACGGTAACGTTGCAGGTCGTCTTGCAGGGCTTCTCGCAAGACGACATCTTCATCACCAACGACGTGCAGCTCCAAGTATCGGCGCTCGTGCGGGCCAGGGAAGACGTCCTCCTCAGGGTTGGCTCTGATCCCGAAGAAGTGACACAGGGTGAACCAGAACCCAGGGGTGAATCGCAGGCCCCGTGGGGGCTGGGAATGCAGAGCATTACGCTGCCAGCACCTGGGCCTTATGAACATTTCGGCCAACTGTCGAGCGGGAATGGTGTTGGCACCCAGAAGAGGGGGCATCTGGCTGAACAACTGAATAAGAGCTGTGACCATGCCACTACCTGCAATGAGGCTTGAGTCCAGGATGAGTCGGAGTGTGTGTCGGGGCGGAGGGTACTCCACCTCCAGAGAGGGGGCAGGCAGCGGAGAGACTTGTTGCCGCTTCACCCTCATTATCACCAGGAGAGCTGCCACACTCACGACACTCTTCCAGCGGAGCAGGCAATAGAAGAAGTTGTAGACGAAGGCCCGGATCTGGGCCATATTGATTTGGGCCAGGAAGCTGTTGAAAATCTGCTCTATTGGGATGGCGGACAGTAGCTCCTGCACCAGGCTCTGCCGATTCAACTCCGCCGACTCTTGATCTGACTCGTCTTCACTGTCTTCGGACTGGGACTCGGAGGATGAATCCCTTTGACCTCCCCTCAGGGCAAGCAGCAGCAGTGGCCGCATAAAGCTGCCCCTGAAGCCTCTCTGATTTTGACTTCTCCTATAGGACAGGGCTCGGGTGTCATCTTGATCAGGCAACTCCATTACATCAAAATGGAAGTGAGAGAAGAAGAAGACCCAATGCCCGGGGAGAAGTACGGTGAGCCTGTCATTATTCAGAGAGGCTAGATCCTCTGTGTTGAGAAGGATCATGATGGGCTCCTCGGTGTTCTCCAGGTAGCGGCTCCACACCATGAAGGAAGCCCGAATTGGAAGGATCCTCAGCTCCACTTGAGGGTAATCCACCTCCATTGGGGAGAGTTTTCGTGAGTAGAAAGCGCAGGTAGCTTTCTTGCCGGTTTCTTCATCAGTTTGGATCAGGGAGGCATACAGGGATGACCCAGTGATGCCTGTTTCCAAGTAGAATGGGTTCTGAGGCTTTGGGTGGTAGAGAATGGGTGCCTTGCGGAAAGCCCTCTTCAGGCATTCCAAGGCCTCCTGCTCCTCTTCTCCCCAGTAGAAGGGCGCCGAACTTAGCAGCTGCCTCACCAGGGGCTCTGCGATGATGGCGAAGTGTTCCACAAAGTGGCGGTAGGGATACATGAGTTCGATAACGGCTTGGAGGCACCTCCTGTTGCCAGGGGCAGGGCACCCCGTAATGAGATTCATGAGGGTCTTGTTGAGTTTCACCCCTTTGGGGAATAGTGCGAAGCCCATGATTTCTGCTGTCTGGCAATGGAACTGGCTTCTGTCCAGTGAGCAGTAGACATTGTTATGGCGAAAGCGAAGCAGAACTTGGCGTACATGCTCGAAGTGTTCCTCCTGGGTCATCGAGTAGATCAGGACTTCTTGGCCACGGCAAATCACGTAGAAGCCTAGGATGTCTTTTAGGATAGAGTGAATCTCATTATCAGATTCGTCGGCAAATGAGCACAATGTGAAGGGCCGGTAGCATCTCATCTGGTGATCAGTCAAACCAAATGTTGCTTTCCATGTGTCTTCTGTGTGTGAGACGCTATAGGTCTCATGGGTTCCCTTAATGTTCCTACGCAGCTCCAGTTTTGTGAACCATGCAGCTCCATGTAATTGGTCAAAGAGTTCTGGCATCATCTGTACGTAGTCCTGTCTGTCCGTCAGCATGTCATACAAAATCCAGTATTCCTCTTGCTGCCTGGCTTTTTGTTGCATCCTGGCTGCCACAGATTCCCAAGGCACCTTGGAAGGAGACTCATAAAAGACGTCGTTTCGATCACTGTCTCCAGCCTGCTGAAGCTCAGAGGGCTCTGATTCAGAAAGATCATCGGATCCGTCTGAGCTTGGCTGGTCGGAAGTCTCATCATCTGCTTCCTTCGGGTTAAACACGTCGGCCAGGTCTGAGTACGAGTGTGGCAATCCGGGTAGCAGGCTCACGCTGTATTTCTCCAGTGCGATGCATGGTGGGGGTGGGTGGAAGCAATTCTTCAGGCAGTAGGGAGAGTGGAAGGTGCAACGGCCTCTGGTCCAGTCGACGTCAGGTGCATGGGTTCGGAGCCACTTGATGCCTAAGACCACAGAGTAGTGGGGCGAAGGTACGATGTCAAATTCAATGTACTCATAATGGTTCTGTTGGATGCACATCAGGGGTTCCGTGTACAGCCAGATGGGTTCGTTGCCAATCAGAGAGCCATCCACGGTTTGGATTGCCTGTGGATAGGGTTTCTCATAGAGCTCCACATAGTGTTCTTGGGCAAACTTCTCATCCATGTAGTTCCCTTCTGCTCCAGAGTCCACCAGAGCCTGTACCGCGACGCTGTGGTAGGGGCTCACCCTCACCATGAGCAGCAGGAAGAGGTGGGCACGGTCGATGTCTGGATGGTACGTATGGGACAGCCAGCTGCTCACCCGCCACTTCTCTGGGGCAGGTGAGTCGATCCAGGTCATGTTCCTTGGGCGAGACTCGGGGGGTAGCCTGAGCACTGCTCTCCTCTCTGCCAGCTTGTCTTCAATTTGCAGGACGACCACCATCAGATTCTTCAGGGATTTCGGCTGAGGGATCCGGAACAGATAGTGCCTGATGTCTTCGTTGAGCCCATGGCACAGGTGGGCCTGCAGGACTTCATCTGGCCAGCCCAAGGTGGGTACCAGACTCTGGAACTCATTAATGTAATCAGCCACACTGCGGTGCCCCTGCCTGAGTTTGAACATGGCGTCTTCTGCCACACGTAGCGTCTGCCGGTACTCGAACATATCTGACATGGCCTGCAGGAAGCCCTCGTAGTCGTTTATGAGGGGGCTGTTCTCCTCTACCAGGGCATTGGCCCACTCCAAGGCTAGGCCAGACATATGGCGCATGACAAACTTAACTCGCAGGTGGTCATTGTAGAACATTGATGCATGGCTGTGCATGGTCATCTGGCAGAGCACGAGGAACTCATGGTAATCTCTTCGATCTCCAGAGAAGCGCCTGATGGTGGGCAGCTGGCCATCCTCCATGGCTTGTATCAAGATCTCCTCTGTCACTATGTGCTGTTGTCTGACATCTTGCATTCGGAGGAACATGGAGATGATGGTCCCCATCGTGGTCATGACTTCTTCCGGAGAGCTCCTGGGCTGACCCTCGCCTTCAAGCTCCCCACTTCCATCTTCCAGGTCAGTCTCGTAATTTGCCTGGCTCCCATACATGGAATCTATGCCATCAGTTGCCTCACTGAGTGGATCTGAACTATAGTAGGTTCTGTCCAGGTCTTCATCACTGTATGAATCCTCGCTTTCCTCATATGAGTAACTGGATAGCTCTTCATCAGTGGGCAGCTCTTGCATTTCCTGGACAGAGCCACTGGTTGGCTCATCTCCCTCTTCTCCCTCCTGGATGGGGCCACTGGACTGCTCTTCTCCCTCCTCGACGGGGCCACTGGACTGCTCTTCTCCCTCCTGGATGGGGCCACTGGACTGCTCTTCTCCCTCCTCAACGGGGCCACTGGACTGCTCTTCTCCCTCCTCGACGGGGCCACTGGACTGCTCTTCTCCCTCCTGGACGGGGCCACTGGACTGCTCTTCTCCCTCTTCTCCCTCCTGGACGGGGCCACTGGACTGCTCTTCTCCCTCCTGGACGGGGCCACTGGACTGCTCTCCCTCCTGGACTGGGCCACTGGACTGCTCTTCTCCCTCCTGGACAGGGCCACTGGACTGCTCTTCTCCCTCCTGGACGGGGCCACTGGACTGCTCTTCTCCCTCTTCTCCCTCCTGGACGGGGCCACTGGACTGCTCTTCTCCCTCTTGGACGGGGCCACTGGACTGCTCTTCTCCCTCTTCTCCCTCCTGGACGGGGCCACTGGACTGCTCTTCTCCCTCCTGGACGGGGCCACTGGACTGCTCTTCTCCCTCTTCTCCCTCCTGGACGGGGCCACTGGACTGCTCTTCTCCCTCCTGGACGGGGCCACTGGACTGCTCTTCTCCCTCCTGGACGGGGCCACTGGACTGCTCTTCTCCCTCTTCTCCCTCCTGGACGGGGCCACTGGACTGCTCTTCTCCCTCCTGGACGGGGCCACTGGACTGCTCTTCTCCCTCTTCTCCCTCCTGGACGGGGCCACTGGACTGCTCTTCTCCCTCCTGGACGGGGCCACTGGACTGCTCTTCTCCCTCTTCTCCCTCCTGGACGGGGCCACTGGACTGCTCTTCTCCCTCCTCGACGGGGCCACTGGACTGCTCTTCTCCCTCTTCTCCCTCCTGGACGGGGCCACTGGACTGCTCTTCTCCCTCCTCGACGGGGCCACTGGACTGCTCTTCTCCCTCCTCAACGGGGCCACTGGACTGCTCTTCTCCCTCCTCGATGGGGCCACTGGACTGCTCTTCTCCCTCCTGGACGGGGCCACTGGACTGCTCTTCTCCCTCTTCTCCCTCCTGGACGGGGCCACTGGACTGCTCTTCTCCCTCCTCGACGGGGCCACTGTCTGAGCCCGCCTCTGCCTGCGCCTGTGCCCCGCTGCTGCCTGGTGTCTCTTCAACGGTGTTGGATGAGCCCTCGGAGGACTCCATTTGTTTTGATGATGGATTCTTAAGCTCCATCATCGTCTCAAATGAGTCTTCAGAGGGTTCCATCATGTCGTCGGTTGGAAAGGACTGAACTCTGAAGACAGGTAAGGTTGTGATGAGTGTGGTCAGAGACCGCAACCGTGGAGATAAGAACCTAGGGGCAGAAAGGGATAAAAGCAGGAGGAAAAGTAGCAATTTAGGGTCTCAAGATGTCAGGGTCAGATTCTCAAGGACAAAGCAGATGCCCAAGTAATTAGAATCAGAGGGAAACCAGAGAAATTCTCCCTACATTCAATACAGCCTCCTCCTCTGGTCACTTGGGGCACTTCTGAAGGGGAGACTCAACCCCTGACCTGCCTCCCAGGCGGAGTCTAACTGCCCCGCCTGCCTCCTTCCTCCACTGGAATGAGAAATTCACAGAACATAAATTTTGTGGAGCAACTGGCCCAGAGCGTCCTCCGTGGCAAGCAAGCACCTGGCAGGGCACACTTCTGGCCCATTTTGCCCTGGCACCCATGCCTGGCCAGTTTCCCTTCCTGTCTCTAGTCATCCGAAAGTCATAAGGTCACATCTCAATGCCACTCGATGCCACTGCTGGCAGGCTTGGTGGTCTGGAGCATGCTTGCTTGGGGGCGGGATCCTGCAGGGAGATGCTTGCTGTCTCACCAACTATGGGGAAAGAGGAGAAATCGGGCACTTGGCCGCTCTCCTGCCTGTTGGGTCAGCAGCCAAAATAGCTCTTATTTCCTCCTCCAGGCTCCAAGCTGAGATAAGTGGGAGAGAGTGTGACTTTTGCTCTTAATTTTCTCCCCATAAATGTTTATAAAATGCCTACTGTGTGCTGAAAACTCACACTTTTGTTGCTTTTTCCTAGGTCATACTTTGGGGGGTGGGTGGGATGGGGTGGATTTTTTGTTCTCAATTTGATTTCCATCCAAAGTCACGCTCTCTCCAGCGCTGAGCTGGAGGTTTCCAAACACCACCCTTCCCAGCCTCTCTAAAATCGACCCTCCCAGGATTTCCCTGGTCTGCTGGGCTCCTGGAGCTTCAAACATCTGGCCTCAATTCTGTCCATGCAAACATTTCTGCGTGCCTCTCGGATCCCAAGTTTCCCCTTTGCTCAGGCAGGGACAGTCTTTTCATTCCTACAAGCACTCCCTTTTCTCTGTCACTGCTGATCTCCTCCGCTACAGGAGTGTATCCAACAGAGGTACACAGCTGGGTGAGAGGAGGGCACGGGACCTTTGAAATCTGTTTGTCCTGGAATTTTTGAAAATCTAGCCATGGGAGGATTTAGTACACAGAAATTGAATTTAAAGGGATATATTGGTTTGCAAAACAAATGAAACTATTCACTACCCCAGCCATAAAGCTATTGTCTTTATAAATTTGACACCTCTGTTCTCAATTTTCTTTTTGAGGGATAGGCTGACCTATCAAAAAGCACAAAAAAACCAAACAACAATAACAACAACAATAAAAGCCCAAACCAAAAAAAAAAAAAAAGAACCCAGAAAGCCAAATATAAACAAAAATCTCCTTGCTGTTCTCTATGTAAAATTCCCAATGGCTCAAATTCCTACCTTCCAGCCGGATAAAGCATTTGGATCTGCAGGTTCTCAGAATTAGACATCCCCTTGTTAGCATGGCACTTACATTTGATCATGCAAGCCCTCTGATTAAAGCCTCTCTCTGGTTATTTACTGTCTGCAATATTAAATCCAAACCTTTTGTATAAACACATCCGACATGTAAACTTAACCAAAAACCCTTCTCTGCCTAAAATTGAAAAGGCTTTAGCACAATGCCTAAGTTGGACTTATCATTCCTGGAGGGAGAGGTCACAGTTTCTAAACCTGGTGTACAAATGAGGTAAAACAACCATCTCAGAAACATGCGCAGCATTTCACATAAATCAGCTCATTTCCTCTTCATGAAAGTTCTCCATGGCGTGCACTATTAGCGAAATGTAAAATTTGACTAATGCATCTACAGGTTCATCTGTCAGGCATAAAAAATCTCAGCAGGTCTCCCATTTAAGCTCACGGTTTAAAATTTAAATTTGTAGCAATCCGATTATAAAACTAGATGAAACATCTGCTTAATAAAAAGTCCACACTTAAAAGATTAACAAAATTGATCACATGAACGATTGACTCTCCTTTCCACCTTTCAACCAAACATCTCATGTTCTCAATATTTTAATAAGCCTGGATATCAGAAATTAAACTTAGCAGGATAAACAATATCTATTTTACAATTTTCTATTTAACACATACACATTTCATGTCTATACTATGAAGTTCCAATTGCTTAGCATAAATTAATTTTTAACCATGTGGTTTAATTGCTGATTTTTAACCATGTGATTTAATCAATACAAAAATCCACAGTTTCATAGGTCACCCCAGAAACCCTTGACTGCCTTCACGCCAAAGCTCTTAGATGATCACCAAAAGCCCATATTTCTTGCAACACGCATGCACTGGCTCCTGTAACTTCTGCTTCCAGCCTTGCAATGTCTCTGCCTTACCTATGAGACCAAGTCTTAAAGTGATCATTTCTCAGCAGACTGAGCCTGTTCAACACACGAAGTTCATGATGTCATCCCCCTAAAATCTCATCATGGAGGGAGTCCAAATTCCTCAGCATGGCATGACAGTGTACTCCCTGCATGCCTGTGTCCAAACCTGACATGCTGTGTAAATGTCGTCTGACTTCTCTGTCCATGCTGTAGGTGACCCAGCCTCTCAGCACAGAAGCCTCACTGCCCCTTGCGCCGAGGGGCAGTGGGCATTCATTCATGCATTGCACGTCAAATCGACACACCTTAACATAAAGCATGTTTTAAATCATCAGATTCCTTTGGAGACAAAACTCTTGACCATTTCCTTCCTTACAACCCTTCCTTGGCCAAATTCCAAGCAGCCCCCTCCCCACATGAAAGGATTAAAAATGGTGTCTCACCCCTTGCTCAGGATACAACAGTGTCCTCGATGTGTGCCTCTGTCACATCTAACCATGTTCTCATTGCCACTCGCCTCTCTGCCGAACTCATGAACCGGAAGGAGTCCCTCCCACGTTTAAAACGTTGCAAAGATTCTTTGTAGCACAAAGCCCCAAATTCTTAACAGACAGTGAAGTATCTTAACATGTCCACTTACCTCCGGCCCAGTCTAATTTTTTTTTTTTTTAAAAAAAGACCAACAAATCTTCCCCCATCACACTTTAAGCCGTTTATTGGCTTAAATCCGAACGTTTTGGAGTGACATTAGACTGATATGTCATCCCTTAGAATAAAATTCACACGTCTTTGCCCAGTTCATTAAATCTGAGCTTATAACTCCACCTTAAGAACACTGCAATGTATCTTAATTGTGCACTACATAAAAAGTCCAGATTCTTGGCATACAGCAAGCATTTGATTTCATAACTGAGCTATGTTATATCTATCACACACAAAAAAACTCACCGTGTCACTCCGTTAGAATTGGATAAATCAAATTTTTAAGCATGTGCAAAACTCTCATCACATCAGAGCTTCTAAATAAATTCCAAATTTCTCTGCACAGTCCCCATCTCGGCCATGTCAGCCCTCTAATTAAAACCTTTCCTCAGCGTCAACATTAATCATATCTCCTTGGCATGCCCTGCGAGTCAAACTTTGGCATGCCCTCAACATAGAAAGCCAGAATGTTTGGGCATGATTCTTAAATGTGTGCCTGTTAACTTTCCTATTTACGATTTCTCAGTGTTTCTCATTGCTTGTAATAATAAAGTCCAAAGCTGTTAGCCATAAAATATGTTTTATCATGCTTTCTCCAGGCTTATCTTCCACAAGCAAACAATCTCACTATTAAGTTTTTTTTAAAGCCTTTTGGCGGAAGCCCAAAGCCCTTAGTGTGATAGAAAATTTTGATTCTGCCACCCCTCAAAATAAAGTCCAGATTTCTACCCCAGAAACCCAAATCAATTTACAGTACTTGCGCTCGAGATCTTTCCACACACTTCCAGCAATGCTGAAAAGTCCCACTGGCTTTGAGTGACACTCTCATTTAACCAGGGCATTCTCAGCTCCCAATCGCTTACATTTCATGTCCAGGATATAAAATCCAAGTGCCCCCGTGCTGACTGGAGCCTGGAGTGAGCGTATCTTGTGTTGAAATTATGTAGACCGCGCTGTATGCTGGGGGATCTAGACCTTAAATTGTTTTGCACGAAATAAAAAAATTTAACCATCTGTAACGCCGTTCCTGATTTGTCTAGAAAGACTGAGTTTCGTGTCCCTGATTCTAAACTCATCTTGACTTTGTGTTCCCAGAGCTCTGTGTTTTTCAGATCTTTATTCCATTAGTTCACCCAGCAGTCTGTTCTCATTCTTTTTCGCCTTAGGCATCCTGCTTGGACCCCAGAGAACTGGAGATGGGTACCACCATGCAGTCTCACAGCAGCAGCCAGGAGGCGAACCCTGTACCCTGTACATTAAAGCTCTCCTGTAGCAAGAGGAAGGACCCTCTACTCCAGGTGACCCAGCCCAGGGATCTGCCTCTCTGGGTAGACATGGAGCATACTGAACGCCATCCTCATTCTCTGATGCCTCTGGTGATCACCTAGGCTTCCCCTGTCTGGCTCTCCACTGACCACCCTGCATGCCTTTAGTCCTTCAGATTCATCTCAATGTCTGCTCTCAAACATTAAATATATATATATTAAATATATATACATTAATATATACATTATATATATATATATATATATATTTTGAAATTTCTATCAAAATCTGGATCTTCTGCCTAGAGTTGGAGCTACTCTTTGGGTCTTTGTTGGAACCCTCTATCCCACAACACTCAAGACAGACACCCCAGTCTCACCACTACTAGTGTCCCGAGACTCAGTCAGGTTAGCTCCTTGCTTGCTTCTGAGCAAGTGGCCCATGGGGTCAGGGCTGTCACAGAGCATCTATGAAGGGTTCAGTGGGGGAGGAGCGGGGGGGGGGCAAATCCCTCAGCGAATACCTTTCCCTGTACAGTAAAGGAAATCTGATTTTAAAAATAGAGCTTGGAAGAGGA